TTGTAAACACAAGGTTCGCCGTAGCGTGCGTTCTTAACGTATATACGAAGCTAAACGCGACGAAGCGATTGAAATATTCTTCGATTTTATATAACAATTCACGTCCCATTAGTTCAACAGCGATTCGATAGAAGTAAATTAAAAAATGATGTGTCCACTTACATGTCCACCCTTTCAGTGCAACGTTCTTTCCTTTAGCGCAGTTAAAAAGCTGTAATAGAATAAACAAACGTTTAATTTACGGATAATTAGATTAGATTAAGAATTAATCTAATTAGAAATTAGCATAAGCTAAAGAAAATGATTAGAAAATTGATAAACTAAATGTATAAATATATTTATAATAATACCTTCTTATCAAACACGTGGCCGCCACATACACACTCTACGACGTTCCAGGAGCAACTGATGAATCCACAGGTAGTGACGGCCAAATCGCTTACCCCCACTATGCCTACCCCCGTCTCCCACTGTACCGGCTTCGTGCTCTCACACAAGTATAGCGGTAGCTCTGTCCGTGTGCGAAGCCTGTTCGGCTCTTTCCGCCAGTCTACGTCATCACGAGACGCTCGAGCACCTGAGCGCAACCTGTGTGTTTCGAGTATATGGGCGTTCGGGACAAAAATCATAACTTCTAAATTAATCAATTTTCGACATAAGTTCTCTAATACTTTTTTGAAGAGAACTCAAATATGCATTGATTGGCACATAAAAAAATATATGGTTTCATTTAAAAAAATTGTAGTGATCTTTATTTTTTATCGAATAAAAGCTTTTCTGTAAATTTTCATTAACACGATTTATTGTCAACTGAATACTGATTAACTTTTGTTTGAAAAATTTGTTCATCAGTTTCGCGGAAATACCTATCTCGAGGGCCTTCTCGGGGGTGCGCGCTAGACGAAAGTCTCGGCTAGTTTGTGTACGTAACAAAGACGTAAGATTAAGTGTGATAGCCTAATTCTATCACTGTTGGCTAATTAACAGCGAGATTTCACAATTTCTCCTACATCTCCCACTTGTATACCCCTAAAACTCGCCTGAAGTCTCAAGTTTGCTTTATCAGACTATACTTACCGTCCTTCCATGCATTCCAATCCTTCTTTTCACGTTTTGTGGTTCCTTTCTTTGCAGAAGGAAGTGTACACCTCGGTGAAATGTAAAGTTCATGCAAATTAACAGCAAACGTGAGATAATACACGTTACAAGAAAATTCTCCGAGTCGGTAAACTCATTCGAATGTGAAAATAGGTTGTCAGAATTATGCAATGGTGGGATTGGGTAATAGGATTGGATGTGTTTATCGATTATTTCGCTGATTATTATTTACAGGGTTTGAATGAAATAATTAGGAAACACACATGAATTTCTACAGATAACAATAATTTATTTATAAATACACTGAAAATTGTCAATATTGTCCATAGTAAAACGTACGTACGCAACGAAAACGACGGTGTATCTCCTTCGTTCGTAACTAACCACGTGTTTATATCCCCTACATGCTACTTGTTTGTTGAATTTATATCATTTCTTTTTTCTTTTTTTTTTGCTTTTTCTTCCGTGTTGTCATGATTAATATGGACTCTACGAGTCGAACAGTGCTCGCTTATCCGCGCCCTGGAACTACATATAACTATTCTTCTGTGAGATCGTCTTTGTTCTTTTGGTTTGATTGCTTCCTTTAGCGATTTGTTGAAAAGCGTTTCTTAAATGTAAACCAGCCAAACAAGCTCTACAGATAATACAAATACATTGCAACTAATTGTTCTATCTTTGCATGCAAGAGAAAAATTGAAATCAGCTGAAAAAATGGTGATTTTGACACTCGAAAGAGAGCAACTGAAAACGAGTACTGTATTTTATAGAGAAAAAAATTTTTCTTGTATCAATTATTCGACAAAATTAATTTTCAAGTGATAGAGTAACAGAAGAACGTTTTATATTTATGCTAATATAATAAATATTTATTATTCACCGAATATAGAAACTTTTCTCTCTTAAATAACGCTTAAATAATCGATTATAAATAATACACTCTACAATGTTAAATTGTACATGTACAAGAAATAATTTTCAACAGATTCGCGTGTGCGTTTGCAGCTATCGAGAAAACATCGAGCAAGCTGTCATTCTTTGTATTTTTTCTTTTTTTCTTAAAGAATCAATATGTACACTCTTTTATTTTCACACCGTCCTGTTTTGTCAGAAGAACATTTACAAACGTCCAGGGACACCTACGAAACGTTACGATTAAATAATATCGCGCTGGAAGTGCGGACACTACTTCTCTGATCACTATTAAGATAAGTTCCTGTTGTCGTAGGAATCCATATTCACGCACAGAACGACTCGAGAGCAGGTAAACGCAATTAAGTTAGATTCACGATCGGTAACAGTATAAGTCAGATGTGTTTCTGACCGGAAGAAACAAGTTTCCGAGCTCCTCTCTGCGTATTCTACACTTAACGAAACGAAACTTTACAGACATAAATTAATCTTGCAACGAATATTTTCGTATTCTCGACAAAATAAATAAATTAACACTCGTCGAACAGAGAAACGACACGCGCGCTCACGTTCATCCCCTCGTTCTGTTCAACGATCGAAATTTCTGGAAGAGAATTCTTTGAAGTGCACAGGGTGAAATAAGAGAAAATACTTGGAAGTATCATTAAAAAAAAAGTCAATCTACTGTAAATCTGAGAATCAATCCTTAGTTCTTCGTCTCAAATTAAATCCAGCATTTTCAAGCTTGGAATCAAATTAAATTTTCACTGTCTTCAAGCTTTGAGACTTATTCGAAATTGTCAATTTCTGTTTTTTAAAACTTTTAATTTCCATTTTTTTAAGATCTCAATTTCCATTTTCTAAACATCTCAATTTCCTTTTCTCCAAGATCTCAATTTCCACTTTTCCCTTTCACAAATTAAAATTAATTTTTTAATCAAAACTCAGGCTACACATCTTTTCTACTTTCTCTAAAATTCCTCGAGGACTTCTATGCTAATTTTCTCTTAAATCACGCTGTGCACTTCGTCTTTGCATCACATGAGAAAATCTAAAGCTGTGCACACATGGATTCGCGCGACAGGATATTCTTCGACAGGGTATTTTTTTTTTTTTTTTTTAAGGCAAGTCGTCGATGTTCGATTGTCGCACATGTCGCTGTTATTTCGCCGCTTATTGGAGGAAGAACGATTATCGAGATATAACACGATCCTCGTTGATAAACCGATACGTTTCCTCGATCATCGATCAGCTCATGATCTAACATTGTACGCTTCGTTCTAATTGACACTGGTCTTACGGTGAAACGATCGCGAACGACTCGGGCCCGATTTCTCCAGGGATAATTGGCGGAAGACGAACGAACGAACATCGAGCCCGAGTCTTTCTGTTCTCTCTACGATCGATCGTTCTTGTCGAATCGATCGCTTCTATGCTTGGGATCACGCCACTTCACAATTCTCTTTCGTGTTCATTCTGGAACTTTGGAAATTTTTTAATGTCTCTTTTGTACTAAATTTCTATTTGAAATATTCAAATTTCTAATGGAAGCATATTTTCAACTATCTGATCAAAATTGTGCTTCTGGAAGAGTTCAAACTTGTTACACAATGTATACGTACTGTGCGTGTTTAGAAAGATCGATGGAAACGATCCTTAGCTATAGATAATTGAATATTTTTTAGTAAATTTTCAAAAATTGTTAAAAAGATTCTACAAAAAGCAGGTTAGTACTAGTGTAAAAATCTATGCATCTGGACCCGAAGAAAATACTTGAAAATTTCATCTACTTTAAATGATCTATATCTCAGATATGTATTATAGACCATCTCGACTCTCTAATTACACATCTTACGTCGTTCCAATCGAACTAATCGAGTGTCACTTCTCAAATAATCACGAATTTTTCACGTGTCTTACACGTTGTCGATTCTACGAGACAACAATGCCCAGCAAATTTCCATTTAGAACACGACAGTGTAACGCACACACGCGCGATCCCAGGCAATTCAGCGATCGTGAGAGATCCGATTAAAACCCGCGAGGTGCCTTTTCCATGTATCCAAGAACTGGTCGATCAATCGATGTACAGTTCAATTGGTAGCTTTGGTTACGATAAATCTACATACGTTGCTCGAGACGCATCACGATCACTGTGCCACTCTATCGGCACAGGGTTTTCTAGACACGGTGAGATTAACCGATCAGCTGTCCAGCTAAGCGTACGCTTGATTCTCCGGATTCGATTCGCCTGGAGACGCTCGAGAATACGAAAGAGAGAAAGAAAATTATAATAAAAGATTTCGCGACGTTCCGAACGAATTTTTCGTCGAAACGTGGCGATATTTTCCACTTTGATTCCACGGGGCGAAGAGCCGACTGATCTCATATTCTTCTTTAAGGAAAATTCTCTACCCTATCGTCAAACTAACTAGCTCGATCTCGATTAGATTGAAGAAACGTGTTTTGATTTAACCCTTTCGCTAGTGAAATTGTTGTAAAAATATACGTTCAAGTGTAATTTAAGATTATTTCTTGTGTAAATATAGAAGTCAATTTTTTCATTAAGAAGTAAGAATAAATCGTGAAATCACATATATTTGGTGTTTCGTTTATAACGAACGTTTAAATTATTTCCGGTGTTATTGAAAGTGAGAAAAAATATAGGACGTGAATATTGAAGATGATTTCAATAACAGAATTAATTTAGATGTTCCTTATAAACGAGACACCTTGCAAGGTGTAATCTCGACGATGTGTATACCAGAAGTATAGTCTATCTAAGGGAAACTATTCAGCCAAATCCAACTACAACGAAAGGGTTAATACAAAAAATGATTTCGATCGAACAGTCGACCCCTCATGGAGGAACAATAGCGACAAACCACTGATAACATGTATTAACGAATATATTAATTGACGTTGTGAACGACTGATCGCCTCTCGATGTGCGGCCACCCGCGCGAACTCAAACGAACATTCTTGCGGTACCTATAGTATTCAGAGGACAGACTAATCGCTTTTGTTTATAATCTGGACATCCTGGATCTCCTCGGGTTGCATATCCGTGTCGCCCCAGCCCCATTTCGAGCCCTCGTGACTATGATGATGTATCACTTCCGGTTTCTTGTACCTGAGAACACAGTTTACGATTTTTCGACACGATTCTCGAAATTTTGCAGTTTTTGAAAAGTTTTTCAATTCGTCGATCGAATTTTTTGTTTTTCGCGCTTTTTCGAAAATTATTAAATTTGAATTCTGAAACTTTTCAGTTTCTGAGAAATTTTTTTTAGTTCGACGATCGAACTCTCAAATTTTTTGCTTTCCTTTTTTTTCAATTTAATAGAGGAACTGTTTGAAATTTCCAAGTTTTTACAACACTCCGGACGTTAAAAATGATTTATATATCGGATAGAAAAAAAATCGAAGGACTGACTCTTATCGTCAGTTCGGCTAACTTAAACAAATGAATTCGAATAAATTTAAGTACCTTGTGCCATCTCCAGTTCTGTGCGCCCGTTTCATCACTACTTCAACAGGAACGGTTTTCATATCGTACGCCAGTCCTAACCAAGCGAAGAAATCGATGAATGCGGTGGTGGCGTTCATCTTGTAGTTACCTAATTCAGCCGCTTTGTAATCCCAGGGGAATACATGGTGATAATTATGCCAGCCCTCGCCGAACGCTAATATGGCCACGCTTTTGTTCTCTGTCGGTCCAATGGTGCTATAGAAAATTCACGAGAAATTTCACGTCGCGTCCAACCCAAGATTCTTTTAGAAAAGAAAAAAAAAATTCCTCACTTGTCGTAAGGTTTCATGCCCCAGATATGAGCAGCGGAGTTCACCAGCCACGTCATGTTCAAGGAAAACGTGTATCTGAGGACAGTGGTGTACCAGGAATTCAATGGCTTCTCATCCCAGAAGTAACAAGGCACCCACATGGGAATTATGAAGCAGCAGAGTGGCATCAGCACGATGTAAAGCCTGTGAGACATAGAAGAGAAAGGTTCAAGCCATGGAACGTCGTAAATAGTTTCCATTTAGGTTACTGACACGCGTTAAGAGCAACTTTCAGTACCAGCAAACGGCACGTTACACGATACAAATCGTGGTATCTAGATGAAACGGAGCTTCGAATCACAGTGCAATGCACTTGACATATCTTTAAGGATTAATTGATACACGTGTTGGAATGCAAATTGAAGTAATAAAAAATAGATAAAGGAAGAAATTATTGCTTCGAATGTGAAATTTGATAACATTAATATTTTTATTATCAATCATTTTTCTAATGCGAAATTCTTCCTTAATTTCTTCAAGAATCATTTTAAAAATTAATTATCATATTTCTGACATTTTGTCCATATCCTGGAATTTATTTGTTTCGCGTTCCAAATTATCAGGTCACTCAAAAAGTTTCTGTAGTTTTATCGTTTATGTAACGAGGGAAAAATGGAATATTTCAAATTATCCGATAAGTCAGAATTACGAATAATTATATTTATTATAGAAAAAGGAAGTAGTACGATTAATGTTCACCTTCTTTGCCAAACGACGATCGGATCCTGCTCCAAATCGTTCAAGTCAACGGTACCTCCCTTCTTCACCACTTCCGGATGTTTCCTGAGCATCAGCCATCCCATATGCGAGAAGAAGAAGCCTCTCTGCGCGTTGTGCGGATCAGCATCGGTGTCCGTGAATTTGTGATGGACTCTGTGATCTCTCACCCACTCGTAAATATGATTCTGTATGGGCAAACGTCGAAATTTGACGTTATCACTTTGCTTCGCTAACAGTATCACTTCGAAGAATTTGTTGAAACGTGAGAAATTAAGCAAATCACCAGATTTCACTACTCAAACTTTTCACGGAGAACAAAACGAGTAAAATATCACAATATTTAACGGAGAGAATGAATTAGAGTAATGATAGAATTAATTGTGAAATGAAATTGGAACTGGAATAATTTCCGAAAGAGGAGGAAAGTAGAAACTCACTTGGAACGCAATCGTCTGGAAGATCATCAGTATGAATCGCATTGGCCACTTCGCTTTGTACGCTCTATGGGCCCACAATCTATGAGCGCCAGCCGTAATGCCTACAGCTGCCATCGATGCTATCATAAACGCTGAAAATGTTTCATTTTTATTAGTTCTTTCATTATTTGTCATTTTTTCATCTTCTTCGCTCCATCTTCTTTACTCTAACTTCTATTCGATGTACTATACTATTTAGCTTCACCTCGCTCTACTTTGTCCTATTCTTAGTTCAACGTTTCATTTATGTCAAATAATTAGACGTAAATGAAGAAGTAATGTCTACTCTTCAATTAGAATTTCATTTCATTCCATCCCAATCTGCACAATCTCGTCGTACCTCATTTCAACGAATTGCAAAATAATTTATAGAATTAGAGAAACTAACATTCGAATTACATATATCGATATCGGTAAACGATTCAACCCTTTCGTGACCAGTGAGTGTTCGAATAAAAATTCTCGAAGAAATTCAATTTACATTTTCATTTTAATGTACATCAAAATATTATCCCTTTCGTGAGTCTCTCGAATAAAAATTGGTCCAAATTTTAACAAATCCCTAAAAAGGAATAATTCGATGAATATAAAGGGTGACAATCGATGCACAGAAATGAATCTTCTCTGCAAGTTACAGCATTCAATTATCCTCTACTCCTACACCCTGTCTAATTCTCTCACAATCAGTCAAATTGCAACATCAGAGAACACTCTGCAGATTACATAGAGTACGGGCAGTCGATCAAGCAAACGGTACACCGTTCACGTATACACGCCGCACATTTTCATCGTCGATTTCTATCAACAAGAAAGTAGGATGCTGGCTTCGAAGATCGTACATTGTTTGAATGGCGTTTACGTTTTCGAAAACGGGACGAGAAACGCAAATCGAGTTCCTTCGAGATGCACGAGGACGGCAGCATTCGAGGCCGCGGCGTTCTACGATTTCTACCATCGAGTTTTTTACATTCGACCCAGTTACACGCGGCTATCGTTAATAACTGTAATCGCATACGACGGAAATAACAGCCACGATGAAAGAGGGACAGAGAGAGAGAGAGAGAGAGTCAGTGGTAAGATATTACCATTTTCGAAATCGACTGGATACTAATTGCAAACACGTAATACATGCATCGATGCAACTCGATGCCTTTTAATTTCGTCGGATTTCTGTAGATCTCAAAGGATAACTAAGCATTGTCGTACAGATTTAATTAACTATTATACATGCGTATTACGTACAATGTGCCTGATTTTATTGGGAGAATATTTCACGCTGTGTTTATTGGTACGTAAAGATTTTAGAATGGAAGTGATTTAAATATATGCCACAAAGGACGAGTCTGAAGTGATTAAAATAATATTTGCTGAAAAATCATTTCTAGATTGTCGAATGATTGTTGAAAGAATGTAGGATGTTTTAACATTTATATGGTCTCTAAAACATTATTAAATAATGGAAAATGAATGATTCGAACAAAAGTCGCCGAACACTTTGACAAAAGCATCTTATTCATTTTTGTAATTTGAAGAAAGAAATGTGAAACTAGTCATTTTGAAGGGTTTGGTTGTTCTAGTGTTAGAGGATTATTATCAACCATTAATTATGCGTACTATTTCGAGTAGTTGTATTACTAAGGATAACACGTAGTTGCAAGAATCTTCTATAAATTTTTCATTCAACTTATACGAGGAAACTGAACGGTACTGTTTGTTTGCAATAAAACACGTGAGATATCGTTGATGAAATTTCCACAGAAGGAAGCACAACCCTATAGAGTGATCTGTATACTTACACCATAGAAACGTGTAAAATTTTGTTCCATTGAATAAAAGGTAAAATCCGTACAAAGATCCAAGATGAAGATAGATGAACGCGATCACATTCCTCCAAACGATTTTCCATTCATATTTCGACTTAGGAGTAGACGATTTCTGGGCTAGCAATTTCTGGCCGTTCGCCTTTTCTGTCGTCGATTTCTCTTGATGAACGTCTTGTTGGGATGCTTCCAAATATAACGCGGCCGATGTACCAAACAGATTCGGCGCCATTTTGAGCAGTCTGAAACAGAATAATTCCAGGTGTTGAAAAATAACGAAAGTAATTTTTGCTAAAAGATGCAGAAGAAATGTGTTTTAGTAGAATTCTACGTTCTAAGATAATTTCTTCCAGTATCGTTGCATCCTAACAATTTCCAAAAGAATTACCAAATAAATTTACAAAATAATCTACACCACGCTTTCTATTCCATTTTCATTCAAATTTTCCATTGTCATTTCCCCCAATATAACGCAAAATTTCAAGATCCTCGGATCTCGAATTTCCGCGCTCCACTTTCCATTCAACATTTTCATCTTCTTTCCGACGATTTCAATGTTATTAACACTATCGCGAAGCTCTTCAGTTTTCTCTCGAGCAAACACAGCTCCATGAAGAAACAAGGCAACGTCGAACCTAACCATCGTGAAAAGTGCCATGAAACAGAGATTCTCCGTTTGAACAAACAAGCTACGAAGAAGGTAAGTATCGAACGTCGTTAAATAACTCCAACTAGTTTTATTAGTCCAATCACGCCCCATTAGGAGAAAGATCGAGCACGTGCACGGAGAAATAAGACGTTCGGACAGGACGACTATGTTCCTTAACAACACGATAAACCATTCCTATAGATACCGCTATCGATACGAGTTCCAGCGGCGAAGAATGTAGGAGCACGCGGTTCCCGTGAAAGTCCGCGGCTAATTAGTTACTTAAAAATGTTTTTACGTTTGAAACCCAGTGACCTAGTAATAAATACTCACGAAAGATGCAAAATCGCGACACGAGTCTCGTTCCACTTGCGACTGCGTTTTTAGACGCACGCGAAAGTTCGCGCTTCGTTATGGTCGCTTTGACGAATGTTCAAACGCGTATGCCGTTCGCGTTTCGGAGAAAAAGAATCTTTCGTTGCCGTTGCAAAGAGGAAACTTATTAGGTGAAATTAAACTTTCTGAAAATTTATATACAGTTCAATTTACAAGAAAGCTTAATTTCTTCGTTAATGAAAATACGTGACAGTTTCTTTTCTGGAAATTGGATAAATTGCAAATTTCTTCGGAATTTACTATTACTTTTCGTTAACTGAAACGTGTAAAGATGTTACTTTTAACACGAGGATAGAAATAGACGAATGGAATGTTTATTAGTGATCCTTCTGAGGCAACATTAACGTTTGTTTGTTTCTATAATTGTTCATTCACGTGAAATCAGTTACGCCAAGGTAAGCGAATATCAATGATCCCTGTGTACATAAAAATTAGTGTAAACAAGAATCAATAACACGTTTTTATTACGCAAGCTCTCTTGTTATTCCGTGATTCGCAGTGTGACGTAATGGCAATTGTAAGTTCACGGGCATTGCCTCTGAGTATATGTATACTAGGCAATACTACTTTTCTCATGGATCGTGACTAAAATACGAACGAAATCGAGGAACGAGAGAAACCAATGACTCTTGCATTGTTCACTCTTTTTTTTTTTTTTATGAATATTCAGAGAAGTGTATCTTGGCAATTATTATCGAGATGTAACTTAACAACGAGAAAGATAAAGGAACTAATTCTTGACACTGTTCTCAATCAATTCTTTCGTTGACACGTCGACTGTCGCATGAGTCATCGATAAAAAAATTTCTTAATTTCTCCGTTAAGAATAGTTAATCATCGTACCGTCAGCCATTAATGGCCCACGCAACATAGTGCTGCGTTTTCAATTCTCTGAGTGACAGGTTGTTATTGAAAAATAGTAATGCAATAACGTGGTGGTCAGTGATTCACACATGCATGAAAAGTCACGTGAAACTGACCCGTGCAATGTTTTCATTTCGCCGGGTAATGTGCTGCTACTGAAGAATAACATATATAAGCAATGCAATGACGTGGGTCGTCAGTGACCCACACGACCTAAATGGAAATTGACCCGTGAAATTGATTAATTTACCAATGTATTAATTTGCACCGGCTGTACACGCGTCAGACGACTCTGCTAAAAAGAAGCTTCCGGTGAACACATGCACCGTGAAATCGACCTCACTACTTGCACTTAAAAGTTCCGAATCACTCGCCAATTTATATTCCGACTGATTCGAATGACGAAAGATTCGTTCAAAACTTCCTAAAATTACTTCCTCTGTTCACGAAATTTTCATTTTTGTGATCTCGAACTTTTGGACGATAGTGTGCATCGATTCCATCGACTGTACACTCGTCAGGCTGAACAACTCTGTTAAGAAGAAGCTTCTGGTCGACGCACGCAACGTCTGTCCCAGTAAAAGTGCTTCCACAGAGATACGAAACGCAGAAACGGTACATGCTGTATCCGTGCGAGAGTATCCGCAGAGAAAGGGGCCGAGTGACGTGGAAATGGCCACCGAACTGAATAAGCGAAGGAGAGACGAGGAAGCGAAGAAGTGAAGTTTCAAGCTGGAAACAGGTTCTCCATAAAGGAGGTCAATGGTGAGTTTGAGGTCATTACCAATCGGCGTCGGAAGGACCTACTCCCGTCTCTCGTTTTCTACGAGTCTCCACCTCGGAGGAAATTGTCGCTTAACTCGTACGACAGACGGTTCTATTATCAGCGGAACAGGATGATGATACGAGTGGAAAGAAAGGACGCTTTCTTAACGCTTTCTTCATGTTTATAAACGAAGAATGGCTGGTCTATCGAGATCGAGAACACGTTCAACCTTCCAGTTACTTCCGTTAGGATCGTTATTACACCCTTCGCTGTGCTTGACAGGTGATTGTTTGAATCTTCCAGCGGGAGGAAAGAATTCCGGAGTTTTTTTTTTTCCTTCTTTTTCCATGTCGAAGATGGTGATCTTGATCTAAGAGGACAAATTCGCCGGATCTTGGTGTTCCAGAGTGGACCGATGAAATTTCGGTAGCGTGAAAAAGCGGAAGAAAGTGGCAGCTCTTAATTTCGATGTAAGTTCTCTGCGACATGATTCGCAACGAGAGAGCAATAACCCGTTGAATTGAACGCAACATTTTACATTCACGCCTCGAGATAAGATAAATAAAAAAAAAATACCTTGAAATGATACGTAGAAATTGTATTTTTCTTTTAATAAAGAATTCCTGCGATAAAAAGGAGCGTTGGGAAATTTTAAATTTGAGATTCTCCAAGACTGAGGAAGATACGCACGAATGGAGAAATTCGTTGGACCGACCTTTACGTTCGACGATTAACGTTCCACCTGAAAGCTGCAGGTACTATATAGAATGACTCTCGAGGAAGGCTGCACGCCTTAATGGAAATATATTCAGGCCAATGGTTGAACGAAACCTGCTTGTAATCATCGATAAGTCGATTGAGAAACCTGGGTCAACGTGCTTTGTAGTTCATCGATCTCATGAATAAAACAAACAACAATTCATGCACGAAAAATAAACGATCTACGATTTCACGTGTATTGAATTTCGTCGAATGTGTTCGTCCTAAAAGAAATTCTGATTCCACTCAAGTTATCGTTTTTTTAAATATTAAACTATAGATTGTACCACATATGAATATTATTTGTTTAATATTTAATTTATTCCAGAAAAGTTTCATCACAGAGATATAGAAAATTAATTATGAATTTTTAAGGACAATTATCGTTGACTTTTATATTTCAAAAGTAATTCGATATGGAACACTGAAATGCCAGTTGCTTCGTAAAAATTCTAATGTCAGCATGCTCTTGACAGAAACAGCAGAATGAAGGATAATTATGTAGAGAAAATGTGCAAAGTGTTCGAGGTTCTGTCTTCGAGTATCAAGAGGGGGAAAAGAGAATTTGAAATTGTAGATTCAATTAAGCTTGCACTCCAATAGGATTTGTTTTTGTTAAAATTCCTTTGTACTGGAAGAGTGTACAGAATGAAAATAGCATAATTCGTTGAATGAGCCAATGTGTTTCTGTGAAACGTGTTTTTATTGATCGTTTCGGTAAAAAAGCTAACAGAGAAACGTTGTAATTAGACAAAGTGTATGCGATAGAATAATAACCGATACGAGTGTCTCATAAACAACAGATAAGAGCTTCGACAAGGACGAAACTGACGTAGTTTTTACCATTTTTAATGAAACAAAGTTAACAGAAAAAGTAGAAACCTAGCTTAAAACCAATATATCGTAAAAAAATTTGAACATAATTCAACGTAAAAACCGATAGTTACGAAAACCAAGAAAAGGCGTAAGATCGTAAGTAGATCACAAAAGTAATTCCACACATCGTTGTACACTTTCACAAATCTCTCTGGATGCTAAGAATATTTCCATACACCACGAAATTCTTTCACAGGCTCAATTTCATCGGGAACTCCGCTCTTTGGCGAATAAATGAATTTTGACGAAATCAAAATTCTTTTCACAATAACTTCCACGAGAAATTCCACGCTAATCTAGAAAATTCGTGGTCACAACTTTCACTCAGGAGGTCATGAACAATACGAACCGCGAACCAAGCGAGAATCTTCCCATTCCTCCAACGAATTCTCTTCCTCGAATAGTCTTACGTCTCTTGCCGTCCTGTTGCAATCGTTGCACAATGGCCAGATGCGCGTGTAATTATGGCAATCCAGGGTGGCACACAAAGCGAATCTGTCCTTTTGTTTCTGTCTGATTGGCGAGAGACACGGCGCTCGAAACGTGGCACCAAAAAGGAAGAGAAATGTTTGAAAAACCGGACAGAAAACCGACACGTCCGATGCTCGTCCCGCTAATGTGTGCCGTAAAAATGTGTGAACGATGAAAACAGTACTCTTGCACGATTGTGGTTTGTCGATAATTAATGCCGCTTATCGCGGAAATAATATGGTTTTGGAATACATGCGGTGTATCGTAAAAAAAAAAACTTTTTCGCAACGGAAGAAATTAGAGAGAAAAATATAGCTTCCTTCTTTTTCTTTTAATAAAAATAAGAAAAATGACGTCGGTTTGTGTCTTACTGAAGGATAAGTATAGCGTGCAATTGTTTAACACGTTCGTTACTGTCGTCACTTGTATGCGACGTGTCAATATTAATAATTTTCCTAAGTGCCTTTGGTCACACGTTATGTAAAGTGTACAATTTGTAGAAATCGGATTATTCCGTGAAAATAATGCGCGTAAGATTTGTTGTATACAGAGAAATAATGAAAATATGAATTTATAATTTTTAAGTTATAATAGAACGCCCGAGGAGATTCTCTGAACCAACAAGTCGAAAAATTTTGGATTAGAACTGTGAAAAGTTCTCAAAAAATTGTTTATTATCGTATATACAAACTATCCATAAAACGAAGAATCAAACTAACTAATGAAGCATTAAATCGGCGCCAATCAAGCATTTAATGAACATTGTATTATAATTTGCTAATTCATGTTTGAATTTATTATACTATTATACAATACTATTTTACTCTATAACTACATATAATTAGAAATAAATTCAATGCAAGAACATGTGCTACCTTTCTTAAAAAATACAAAAAGTGCAAATGTTATAAAAATTTAAAATTTTTAAATTAAGAATTTCGTATTTCGTGTGACAGGTGAAACAGAAGTTACACGGTTAACATAGATTCTTTTGTTTCTAAGTAACTAGGTCGAAGCTATCGATGAAAATCAATTTGAATTCATTAACCCTCGGACACTGAATCGTGTGACGGTCGCATGCCCGGCGGATGCCGGATCAAATATGAGTCAATATTAAATTAAAATCTTCCTATGCAGGTGAAATCACGTTTTCTTTTTTGAATTTTACCAGCTATCTTAAAAAAAGCAAAACAAATATATTTATCAAACATGTCGACAAATATGCGTATAACATGAAGATAAGAGAGTAGTGATTCTTTTTTTCCTAGCGCAGGATGAAGAAAGAAATGTGACGACACGTATATTTAGGTCACCAGTGACCCGCCTTCCGGCGTTCGTATGTTAACATTGTATAAATAGCAAAACGTATGATAAAATATTGATCGGTTAATCAGATGCCTGAATGCCTAATTAAGTTATATGGATCAAGTGTATTCTACTGCGGTGGATCTATCACCTATGAATCATAACTTCACGAATTTGTGGAACAGGAACAAAAAAACAGAATAATATTAATATATACTAATTTATGTCGGTATACGTCATTCATGACTTCATGAATGTTTTCGTGAAAACGGCACATTTAAGGAAAAAGGGGGGGGGGACTTTTCGCTGGCTGGTGTCGTTTTTCCTTTTCGTTAACTTCGAGCACACGGCGAGATTAATTAACGTGGAACTTCTCTTGCACGCGTGTTAGTCAAACACGCTTTGAGTCTACACTCCCGTTCATTTCTACGTTTTTCCACGATTTTTCCATTTGGAACGAAGCGTATTTGTTAAAATATCACGGTTTCAACATTTTCTTCGTTTTCCTGTTTTCTTTTTTATGGGAAATACAGTATTTCATTTCCACGGTGAAAATTTTAGAAAAAATCTTGTGGTAGTGAAGGGAAATATAATTTCCAACAAGCTCTTCTTCTTTTCGAGGAAAAATGATTAATCCTTGTTTATGTGTTATACGAATGACTGCAACATCGACAGATTTCCATTGTGCACCAATTGCATGCAGGTGTACAAAAGCAACTCTTTCGAATTAAGAAACATCCTCATATTGATTGCGAAAAGTTCCTGGAAAACTTGATACACTGGTATCACGTATTATTAGCGTATTGTTGAAGAAGGTTTAATCCACGTCAGCAGACATGACACGTCAGCGAACTACTGTTCACATGAAACTACGAATTTGACGATTTAAAAAAGAATCAGTGTTAACATAACAAATTTAAGGAAAAACACTAAAACCTCACTGAAGCACAAATCCATAAAAGTGACGAATGACTTGACGAAAATCCTCAAGTAGAATAGGGAAATTGACCACAGTTGGAGTAATTAGAAATCAATATCGAGTACCATCGTCGATCACTATGTCACGAGCACTATAGTTCTTTTAGCGACATCCCGAAAAAAGGAAAGAAAATTTCAATTGACTTGATTAAGCTAAGGTAGAGAGCGTAAAAAGAGAGCGAGTACATCGAGAGAGAGAGAAAAGAACCAGGGGAAAACGATTTCGCGTGAACCGATGCGATTTCCTGCATCAAGGAGTTGCTAGCGAAATTGCAGATGGCCACGGTTTGGATTCGTACGAGCTGTTTCGGCGTCATGTATCTTTCAGATGATTCAATTCCACTCTACTAAGCAGACAAACTACTCAAGAAAGTGTGTCGAGCGGAAATTTTAGCTACACGTTCCAATACGAGGCGCTGAGACGCTCGAAAATCGCCGGAAAGTGTTTCAATTTTTCAATCGATCGAGAGATAAAAGTGACGATGAACTTTGGTTAAAAAAAATGGTGTGTATAGTAATTAAAATTAATCGGTGCACTTTTGTACAGTGTGGATGAAGAAATTGTAACAATTTTGAGTTGTCACAGACCCAAAGTCATTTAAAAATCGCCGCAAAGAGCTTCGATCTTTCAATTAATCGAAGAAAAAGTCACGATCAATATTGGATACTTCTTTTTTAATTGAACAATTTCTGTGTGCTTAGCAATTGAATTTAATCGGTGCACCTTGCACAGTGTGAAGAAATGAAAAAAATGTCGAGTTGTCTCAAAAAATGAACCAGGAGGTTGGATTTTTACGAATAAAATATTTAAGAAACTAAATTAAACATTAATGTTAATATGAATTTTATTCCATTTTAATTACTCGTTCTTCGCTTAATTTCAAATAAAACAATCATAGGTGTGTTTAATGACTCGTTACATCGTTCCAGTAACCAAATCCGCGGAACAAGTTTCCTTTACCCGGTTCGAAATCTGAACGAGAGCATTTAAAACTGGTTTAAACGTCGGAAGCAGTTGTACACGAAGGAATAAAATGAATCTGAAATTCCTATAATTGTAGAATCGAATCGTAACATTGAATCTGAAGGAACGTAATAGTAAGTAAACGCTTGCATATTGCAATCGTGAAATCGAAATGAGAATATTTTCCTATTGAAAATTATACCTTCAATTTCTGTTTACACAGAATAGCCCATAAGTCACTTTACCATTTGACACAATTGAAGAAAATTTTTCCTTAAAATTGGGATAAAAATTTTTAAAATTTATAAAGAAATTAAAATTTAAAATTTAAAATTTATAAGAAACGAGAAAGCACTGAAAATCGTTCGGCTAGTTTACAAGCACGTGTTGCAATTGCGACAAGAATCGATGGAATTTCCTCGGGAAGCCATCTTGCAGCCATTTTCCTTTTCTTCGTACTGTTAGAAGTCTTCGACGACCCAGTTTTCACTCGTCGAAACATAGTGTCTTCTTTCCTTTTTCCAAATGTGTCTTTTTCACGGAGAAAATTATACAATACGCGCGAATAACGTTACGAAATCCCCTTTTCCCGGGTTTCTTATCGGCGCCGGTTGATGCACCATCGAGAGACCTCGAAACGATAAGTGAACGGAATCGCGGTGTAACACGTTAACTCGAATCGATGAAGATTTTAACGTAACGGCGAATCTGTTATACATTTCGTAAAATGTCCCGCGTCTTCGTGTGCCTCCGTTTCTTTGGACTGTTGCCACAGATTTGAGATAAGAGGTGTGTCTTTTCTCTTCGAACGATCGTAAATTGGGAAATTTCATTCTACGGAAATTCACCGTGCTGCAGATTGGAAAATATGAATTTACACGGGGCAACAAATTTATATTTTCCAAGAATTTTAATTTGGTCAATGTTTTTCATTTTTATGGAGGACACTTGGAGAATCTCAAGATTGATTATCCTGTTCGACAAATCTGAAGAAATTTAGGTTTCAAGTGACTTGTACAATTGGCAATTAAAATGTCGGATAGAAGTTAACTCCGTTTTCTAAGACCCACCTGCTGTCCATCGCGTTTTTCTAACTTCGTTCTTCCTTTCGAGGAACGAGAACATTGAAAACCTGACTCGATGAAATGCGAAACCTGCCACGATAGAAATACCTGTCGATTACAGAGGAATACGAACTTTTATAGGGTCATTGTTTTACGCGTATTTGGCATTTTTGCGTTGTTACTGAAGAAGCAAGAAAGAGCAAATCGGAAGTCGTTTGATATTTAACGCTATCTCGCGTCTAATGTTACCATAAAAAGCTTCCTTCAGAAAGAATTTGCTATCTATATCTTTTAGTTCACCTAACAAAAGTCTCTCGTTCAGTCGTCAAACTTTCAATCTTACCAGACACAATGAAATTTCTACCACACGATCGTCGTTCATAAATCACTTGTCGAAAATTCTAATCTTAGAATCACCTAACAGAAAATTCCCCGTAAGATCGTTCCACCGTGACAATATCAAACTTTCATCCCTTGAATAAATCTACACTGCACGATTCTCACCGAAAATCCTTCCGATCGTATCAAAAATTCTACCTCAAAATCACCAATCTCAGCAGCATCTACGAAAAAGTCCCCATGTAACAATTTCACAGAGACAATGCCAAACTTTTCTATTATCGTCTCTTAAATAAATCCAAAATGTACACTACACGATTCTCACCCAAAATCTTTAACCTCTCCCTTTAACCTCTTCAGTGACGATTTTCCCAAGTATAGAAAAGAATGACTTACAATCGTAACAATTAAACTATCTTCTCATATTTTCTCTATCACAAATATTGGAATTTTCAGGAAGAAAAAAAGAAAAGCAGACGTACAC